TTATCATCCTTTTGTGCTGGAATACAGTTTGGCTGAGACACACGTGCAGTCTGTGAACTTTTATGGCGTTTGCTGCCATCTACTGGCTAATGTGCAAGCATCTTAAACAAATGTATGCTATGGACAAAACTTATTGGGAGCATTTTTTCCCCATATTTCTTTCTATTTGCTTATTAAATGAAAATGATGGCAGGATAAATAAATGTTATATAATCAAGGGAAAAAAAGCACTCGCACACTGGAAATGGTTGCAACTAATCGTCGTATTATGTCCAGTATTGGACATAATGAGCAAGTCGTGACGTTGGTCGCTTCCGATTTTGTGACATCGTACTTCGCATCCGAGAAGAAGAGGTGGCGAAGTAATTTAGAGTGAAAAGAAAGAGTTTTGGGTGGTATTTTAAGCTGCACTGAAGAAAAAAAAAAGCCAGAAACTTGAAGAAGCGTAAAACACACCTCATGTCTCAAAATAACAGGAGCTCACGGAAGAGCCTCAAGATCCTGTTGCGAACCCAGTCCCTTTTTCTAGGCGGTCTTTAGTCATCTCTTCCTTCACAGTAACAGTGAAGGCAGGTTTTGTTGTTGTTGTTGGTGGTGATTAATCCACATTGCCGAACTGCAGCCGACTTCACATCCAAACAAGAGTGAAATCGCACCAGGCTACTAACTATTTGGTTGCTTTGCAATCAGTGACCCTCGTCCACCTTGCACCTTCGCCTGCAGTGAACGCTGTGCAAAACAAGAGTGATGTGAAAGCGCCGCAAAGCTTTCATATCATCGCCTTTCTCTTGAATTACACAATAGCAGCCTGCAAAATGAAGGCAAGAACAGCATATTTGGTGTTCATATTCCCGTGCTTTATTAATATCCGGGCTTAATCCTAACCAGGATATGAGTTTGTTTTATTGGCTTAATGTATTGACAAATGACAGCCCAAGCAGTACAAAGGCCCTCTTGGAGTCGCTGTGTTTTCTTTTTCTTTTGCCTTTTTGGAAAGCGGAAAATGTAATTCCGGTCGCCATGTTCATCGATCGACATAAAATTGGATGGACTTGACTTTCATAACAGGAAGCACAAAAATGAATTTGTTCAAATACGCCAAAATGGGAAGCGGGTATCCAAGGCAGATGGATGACGCTAAACTGTGATATCCATCGCCAGCAAATGTGTGTGGCGTATGGAGTCAATAATCAGTCTACATCTTCCCTCTTTTTGTTCCCTTCTGCAGTGGCCCCCAGCACGGACGACGTGGCGCTCTACGTGGGCATCGTCATCGCCGTGATCATGTGCCTGATCATCTCCGTGGTCGTGGCGCTCTTCATCTACCGGAAGAACCACCGCGACTTCGACTCGGACATCTTGGACTCCTCCGCCCTCAACGGAGGCTTCCAGCCTGTCAGCATCAAGACGACGCGTAAAGGTTGAGGCCCGCTGCGACTCGCATTTCTGTTTGCCGCATCATATCAGACACCCGCTCGCTCGCTCACTCGTCTGCGCGACTCGCATTTCTGTTTGCCTCCCTGGGCGTCATATCAGACACCCGCTCGCTCGCTCACTCGTCTGTCCATACATTTTAGTCATTAAAATACTTCTGAATGTTCAACTTTCGGAGCCAATTTTTTTTTCCTCAAGGAAATGTTCAAGATGAGCTAACAGTTTGCCAACCTTTGAATGTAAAAAGTACCTGTCAGTGTGCCATCAACTACACTGAAAAGCGACTTGTTGAAGAGTCATCTGTTCATTTGCGCACATCTCATCTTGAAGCGAGCAAGAACGAGCGGCAGAGCAGCATGTCCTCAGCCCAGACGAGAAACATTCATCCTTGTACCTGGCGGCTAAACGGAGCCTTAGCGCTGCCATCTGGCACTCATGAATCCCAGCTGTGCCTTTAGCTCCTCAGACTGAGTAATGTCGCGTTGTGGCAGACTTGACTTCCCTAATGAGTAAAAAGCGAACGAGCGAAAGCAGGCGGGCGCGGCAGTCCCGCTGATTGAGGCCACCGCTTCATTTCCTCGAGGTCATTTGGATTTTTTTATTTTTTTTGTCACCCAAACAAACATCTCATGGTCCCTTTTTCCGCTTCTCACCCCAGCCAATCTTCTTACGGCACCCCCTGACCTGACCTCGGCGGCCGCCATGTACCGAGGCCCCGTCTACGCCCTGCACGACGTGGCCGACAAAATCCCCATGACCAACTCGCCCCTGCTGGACCCTCTGCCCAACCTCAAGATCAAAGTGTACAATTCCTCCGGCCTGGTGACGCCGCAGGACGACCTGGGAGGCGAGTTCTCCTCCAAGCTTTCGCCCAAGCCTCCGCACTGCCTGCTGGACAACGGCGAAGGCACGATCGGGCGTCGCACGCAGACGCAAACGCTGCTGCGATCCAGGGACCCTTCCTGTACTGCCGTGGGGTCCTTCAGCTCGCAAGGGGGCCACCTCATTGTCCCAAATTCAGGTACAGTAGACAGTTACAAGGAGCTGACGCTTTGGTTGGATTAGATTCGATTTGGTTCGACAGACCCACATGTCTGTCCATCAATATTCGCCCTGCCAACTGTTTACCAAGCGTAAGCGTGACGTCTTGTGTCATTTCAACCACAATAACCTTTCAAATGACCCGCTGCGGCATACGTAAGCGATCCGCACGACTCTCCGCGACTGCACTCGTGATGCTGAGTGAGAGCAAAGGTGCGCAACGTGTGTGAAGGATCAGAGCGTCTCGCTGGCAGACAGCTTTTTCCGTGCGCTCGCATGTCCTCTCTTCAAACGCGAGCCCTCGTCTGTTTTTTTTTTTTTTTTCCCCTGGCAACGCTGACAGCCACAGACAAACGAGCTGCGACATTAAAGGCGACGACGTCTCCTCCGGTTTCTCAAAGTTCTCAGCTCTTCATTTTGATTGCTGCCAAATTGTTCTCAGCTGTGCTTTGGAAAAGCCACCTCGTCACGTTACACAAACGCAAGGGGAGGAGGACTTGAGAATATTTCATCTGTTCACGTGCCAAAGTCAATGCTCCTCAAACTGAGGTCCCCGTTCCCTCTGGGGGTCCATGAGTTGTGGCTTGAGGGTCCATAGAATAATTTCTTGCTTCACTATGTTGTATCATTTTAAAAAGTGCATACCTACTATGGGGACCCCACTTGGAGAACGACTGCCCTCAACACATCAACAAACAGCTCAAATACAGTATACTACCGATTATTCCATCGATTAAAATCGTAATCATATTTTTTTTGAAAAATAATTATGAATCATATATATAACATTTACAGTGCAGGTATTGTTTTTGTTTTGGTCTTCTTTTGGTCACCGTCTTCACATTGTACAGTCGTATCTGTGACTTTGAGTGTGTACAGATATGGTGAGTGACGTGGGTGCCAGCGGATGACAGTGGAGACTTGGCTGGCTGTGCATGGTGCTTAATATTGGAATGTTCCGACTTTATTTTTGTAACTCTACAACTTTTTATGTCGACCAAAAAAAACCCATCCTGGTGCTGGTAAAGATTACTATGCCTTTGTTGATAAAATATAACTTTATTCTCAAAACATGACTTTTTTTTTTTCTCCAATGTTCACATAACATTGATGTTTTTCCTTGAAAATTAATCACAATACTCCAGGTGTTTTCCAACAACAGTCCTCTTGTCTTTAATGCGAAAAGCAATTACATCTGTTTTTCGTTTAATTGAAGGAAATGTGACGACATCCAGTTGTTAATTTTCTCCAGACAGTGACACACGACGTTAACTGAACTGCTGTCAAATACAGCTGTGTGTCATCTGCATAAACCTGATAGCCAGCATTGGCATTCTGAAACATCTGACCCAAAGCTAACAAACACAGACTTCGAAAAAGAAAATAAAAATAGAAAGTGTTGAATTCCTGTGGTATTTCGGGGCACGTGTGGTATCTAGCTTTAATTAGCATTGGGATCATCAGAGGGGTCTTTGGAAAAAAAATAAAAAATCTTCCCCGTAAGGAGTCCCGGGACCCAAAAAGTTGGAGAGCTCTTAATGAAATATCATTAAGGGAGTTGCTGGGGTGAACTGTGAGTAAGAAAATTGTCTTTTAAAAGTTTGCCACAATGAGGTCCCCATGGCCGACTTGTGATTACTTTGCCGGCCAGGACAAGAAGCCGACTTGTCACCTTTTTTTGTTGTTGTTGAAAAGTTCACTTCAAGGACAAGGAGAAATCAATGCGCTATCCGACACAGGGGTGTGTGTGTGTGTGTGTGTGTGTGCGCGCGTGTGTGTTTGTGTGCCCATGAGGGAATCCTTTCAAAGACCTTTCTGACAAGGCATCATAGGAAATCGATGGGAGATGGAAAAATGTAAATCACGCCATGAGCAGCAATATGAGAATCCCATGACGAGGGGAGAGATCATTGATTTTCGAATGAAATGTCCCATTCCTTCCACACAACTATATGAAGTTCATGTTTTTTTTTTTTTTAACATGAAAGCTTTCTTTTCCATTTACCTCACATTATTATTGATTTGTGGCTCTGCCGTTTTCTTCATCCTTCATCTTTCCAAATATTTTATTTTCCCAAATTGGAGGAATTAAGACTGGACTTCCCCTCTCAAACTGTCATCACTAAACTTTTATGACAAAATACACTCACTTGTTCGCTATTCCCTAATTCACTTTTTTTTTTCCTGTGGAAGCTTTGACGGAAAAAAAAATGTGTGGTCTTTTTCAGAAAGCTAAAGATGCCACGAGAGCGCACCAAAGTCCTGGTGCATGGGAAAGTAGTACAGTATTTTCGTATTTTCACGACTATGAGGCGCCATTAAAAGTCTTAAATTTTCTCCAAAATGGACAGGACGCCTTATAATGCGGTGCGTGTTATGTATGCGCCGAGTTCCAAAACCTGACTGAGAGCGCCTCTGTGGCCGACACGCTGTTTATATAGAGAAAAGGTGGACGTGAGTGACGACAGGCATGCGGAAGTCGGCCAATGAGTGAAGGGTGGGCGTGTAAGAGGACGCTAAAGGCACGTCCCTAGCAGGTACCAGTCGCCAATGAGTGAAGGGTAGGCGTGTAAGAGGACGCTAAAGGCACGCCCCTAGCAGGTACCAGTCGCCAATGAGTGAAGGGTAGGCG